CAAGACAACTAGGGTCTGACCAGAGCCGCTTCCCGGAGCTCCAGCCTGCCGCCGGCCGACCCGGGTAGAGGCAGCCCATGACCGCAGCAGCGAGGGGAGGCTTCTCCAAGGCAAGAGCAGGCCCACCCAGCCTCCCGTGCTGTCCAGTGTTGGCCCGAGGGCGCTGTGTGAAGCAGCGTGGGCACGCACTGCTGCAGGCCTGAGCGGCGGGTGCCCAGAGGCCTCTCTGCGGTTCTTCTCGAGGCAGGGGCCACTACCAGGCCCTCAGCCCTGGGGCAGCCCTCCACCCAGGCCCTGACTCTTGCCCAGTCGGGAGGAGCGAGGCAGGTGGGGGGCTGCAGGCTGGGTCATCACGGGCCAGGTGCTACTTCAGGCCAGTCTAGACCCTGGACTGATGGGCGAGAACTTGGAGGAACAAGAACTGAGGGGCTCGAAGGGTGTTCTGAGGTGGCCACAATTTACTGTCATGGCCGTTCTGCCTGAGCTCCCTGGGGCTCCGGGAAAGTCACCAATGATCTGGATTTGGCTCAAGGTCAGTCTGGGATGTGGGTCTTGCTCGTTCTCCTCCGTAAAGTTTGTCTTGGACGGGACTTTATCCCATGAGCAAACCCTGGGGCTGCAGAGTCCTGAGCGAGAGGCCTGCTGGATCCCAGCGGGGCGCCCCCAGCCAGGGCAGCTCCAGGATTCCTCAGTGTCCAGTGAGAGCAGGAGGAGGGAGCTCACAGTTCACAAAAATAGCCAGTGGACACTGATCTGGGAGGGCAGGGGTCAGCAGCCAGCGCAGTCAGAGCCGGGATAGAAATCCGGGTTCTGTGTCTGGTGAAGACGGGAGGCTCCACCCGCGCCGGGGCCCGCTTGAGAGCAGGCTTTGCAGCTCTGTTTCCTCTTACACTCTACTGTACTTTCTATTTTTGTGTGTGATAAGCTTATCATGCTCTTGTAATTAAAAAAAATAAAGCAAAACCCCCCAAACAAAACAACCTTTGAACAGGCGCTCTAGAAAGCCTGTGGGAAATACAGGGGGTGTCAGGAACGGCAGAGTTCCAGATGAGGTAGACCCACAGACTGCTGGGTGGGTCGAGGCGGTCTAGTCTCTTCAGCTGCCAGATTCCTTGGAGTTTTCTAGCTGCCCCCTGATTTTGTAGGTGAGGCCGCTGAGAGGCCAAGAGTGGAGGTGACTGGCCCAGGGCTGCTGGAGGAGCACGCCCTGGAGTCCCTGCCCAGCCTCAGTGGGAGTTCCAGATTCTGCCCTCGGAGCGGAATCGTCCTAGTTCCAGGAGCTCCTCCGGACCGTGAATTAGCCTGGCAGATGCGTAAAGGGTAAAGGACTTACTTACGTAGGCGACACTGGTCACTGCGGCTCCCCCAGACAGGCAGGGGTGGGGAGCTGGCTCTCCCAAGAAAGGCCGCGAGTCCCTGTGTGGGGAGGGATACCGCTGTCTCAGTGGCTCTCAGGGACAGGGCTGTGGGTCCGTGTAGGGCAGGGGTCATGGAAGATGGGCAGCCTTTCACCCTGCTCTGCCAAGGAAGGGGAGCCCTGAGCCTTCATGGAGCCCAGCCTGGGGGAACTCTGGCACAGGACAGGGCAGTCTCCAATCCAGAGACCAGCCACCCATGGTGGGGACAGAGGTGAGGGTGGAGCTGTCTGGGAAGCCGGAGGGCACCAGACCACTATAGTTTAGTTTTCCACCTAGTGTGAGCAAGGGAAGGAGGAAGAGGGGTGAGGGTCAGACTGTGGGTGATGGGCGATGGGCAGCAGAAGCCTGGAGCTCAGCCAGTCAGCAGGGCTGAGCTGGCTAAGCGGACGGGTCGCCGGTCTGGGTCACACTGTGAGCACAAAGGAGCCCTTTCGCGGGTACCGCAGAGCTAAGGACCACTGCAACAACAGTTCCTGTCGGTGACTTACCCAGCAGATCCAAAGGGCCAGACTTAGCTATATAACACTGAAAAAGGCCCTGGTCCTAGCTGCCCAGGAAGGAAGCGGGGGGAGCCCCCAGGGAGGGTGGAAGAGGCTAGTGGTGGAAGAGAACTGGAGCCCCTAAAAGCCCACAGCACATTCGGAGACCCCTGGAGAAAGCGGTGTCCTCGGCCCCCCTGAGACTAAAGCCACAGCAGCCGAGCGGCCTCTCACCGCAGCCTCTGTGGCAGGCTCCGTGGCCCACCCCAGCCACGGCGCCCGCAGTCAGGGCGCCACAGCACCCGCAGCTAGAGGTGTGTGGCTTCAGCAGCACCACTCGCCAGCTGTCACCTCACCGAACTCCAGTTCCTTCTGCACAGCAGACCTCTGGCGCGGGCAGCTTCCCCCAGAGCCCAGGCACCAACTCCCAAGACGGCACAGCCCCTCTGGCTAGTGCCCGCTCAGGGGTCTTCCGCCCATCGTCCAGCCCATGGGTCCAGTCAGGAGGCAGCCTGGGGCACCTGGCCGGGGGCTTTACCTCCCTCCCTGCCCCACTCCCAGCCAGGGAGGGGGCAGAGCTCAAATACCCAAGTCTGATTCTGCCGTACTTGGGGGGGGGGGCAAGGGGATCTGCCCCCCACTTTGGCTGCTGGAGCCAGGAGAGAGGTCTCAGGCTTCAAGCCTTGGGGACCTCTCTGCATGGGGCCTTCTTTGCCCTTGGCCTACAGACCACTACGAGGTGCCTGCCCCCTTTACAGCTGTAACCCCTGATCCACGACCCCGCCCACATCCTCTGAGCTGCCACAATCCCCCATTGTGCCCCTAAGTAAACAAGCCTCAGACTGAATAAAACTGTTATTGTGAGTCCATACAGGAGGTCTCTGGCTGGGATTTGTTTGGGAATAGATAAACCACCCCAAACCGACCTCACGCCCTCTGACCCTCTGAAAAAACGCCCGCTGGACCTGGGTTGCCCCAAAGACGGCCCGGAGGTGGTGACTGGCTTGGGCAGGACTCAGGCACTGTGTCAGGGCACACTTGGGCTTGAGCCACCCTCTCCCAGAACTGTTGACCTTCAAGCCTTTCATCCTGGAAGCCTCCCCTGACGCACCCCACCCCACCCCACCCTACTGCTTATCCTTTCTGCGCTCATGTAACTTGAGAAATTCCCCTTTGTGGTCACACTGGAGTTGCCTGTAAGAATCATGTACTTTTTATTTCATGGATGGCTTGTTTCCCTTGGACTTCAAGTTCCAAGGGCCCGGGGTGTCTGTTTTCACTGCCGCGTTCCCGTAGGTTTCCGTAAATCTCACGGTTGCCTGAATGAATGGAGGAATGAGCGGATGCATGTCTGCATGCAGGCAGGCTCTCTTGACCTTCCAGTTTGCTCCGAAGGCTCCTTGAACGGGCCCTGTAGTCTCCAGTGCTTTACCCTCAGTGCCTCAGCCCCCCGGGGCCAGCAGGGTGGGCATCTCCACTGGGGGCAGTGCTGGCCTGTGTGTGCAGGACAGTCTCTCCACAGGGTCGCTCTGGCTGTCTGTGATGCACCAGCCCAGAGAGGCCAAAACGCACCGATGGGGGTGCCGGGGTGCCTGCTGGGGCTTCCACGGGGCGCTGGGACCTCCTGGTCTGCAGCCCAGAGGGCCTCTCCGGAGGCCGTGGGTCGAAGCCATTCCTCCCCACTGCGTTTGCTGCCCGGTGCAGGGCTGACAGCGTTTGAGAGCCGGCCTCTGTTCACCGGCCAGCGTGACTGTTGTCCTTCAACACTTCTCCTTAGGCCGAGGTCAGGGTCACTACAGCATCGTCCCCTGGAAGCCGTGCTGCGGTGATCCAGGTCTCCTGCCTCATTCTCTCGAGAGAACACCCCTTTCCTATCTGGGAGGCTCTGTCACCCAGGCACTGTATGCTTCTTGGGGGTCCCTGTATCTTTTAGCCAGTCCCCTCTGCCCCCTCAGTCTCTGGCTCTGGTGCCTGGTCTCCTGCCACCCTGGGAGGGGGTGGGAGGGGCTTGGTGCAGGGAATGGGTGTTGCTGAGCCAGTCCAACTGTTGGCCTGTGTTCTGAGAGGGGCTGCCCTCAGCAGGCCTCAGGCCACCCAGCCCAGCCCTGTAGCGCCCCCAGACCCGTCCAGTATCCTTCCCTGGGGGCAAACCCCCTCAAATCCTCGCCTGTTCAGCCCGCTCATCTGCAGCCCACCCTCTCTCAGCTGAGACCCTTTTCCAGGCCACTCCCTCTTTCCCTTGCAGAGTCTGCCCTCAACTTTGGCTTGGTGCCTACAACTCTGGCCTCCCCTCCCCCAACACTTGTAGCCAGCACCACCCAGCCCAGGTCAGCTCCCCTGGGACCCTTCCCCAGCTGAGGCCAATAGAGGTGACTCCCCCAGGTCCTCCATCCTGAGCCCCAGATGCATGTGGCCCTCCAGGTCTGGCCCACTCTGCTGCTCCCCCTCCCCCACCCCACAGCCCTGCCCACCCTGTACCCCCAGAAAGAAGCCTGCAGCTGGGGGAGGGGTCAGCCGCCTGCCCGTGGGCAGCGTGCTCAGCCTGGCGATGTGGTAGGCGGCGGTGGGGGGGCTGTCTGGACACAGGCCCCTTTGTGCCCAGCCTGACTTGGCTGCCTGGTGCAGGGAAAGGGTGCATTCACACTTCGAAGGGGATCTGCTGAGCCAGGTCCAACTGTGGGCTGCTGTTCTGAAAGGGGCTGCCCTCAGCAGGGCCTCAGGCCACCCAGCCCAGCCCTGCAGCGCCCCCAGGGTCCAGCTCCTCACCCAGAGGGCACAGGGCAGCCTTTGGAAGGGCTGGCGAGCTCTTGGGGCTGGGTTCTTCTCAGCGTCCACCCCTCGGACGCCGGTAGCAGCGCCTCAGGTGGGCCGGTGCACCTGGCGCCGGTGGGGGGCTGGTGGGGGAGGCCACGATGGCCGCCCCTGGCAGGGGCTCCTCCCCTTTCCCTTCTTCTGCCAAGCTCCCTGCAGCTCTGCCAACCAAGGGGAAGCCCCGGGGGGTGGGGGATTAGAGGACCCATGGTCCCCCTCTGGGGGGCGGCCAGAGGGTCAGGCACACGAGCGCAATGCCTTGCTGATGGTGGCTTCTCTCCTGTCCCCACAGAATGGTGCTGTGCCCAGCGAGGCCACCAAGAGGGACCAGAACCTCAAACGGGGCAACTGGGGAAACCAGATCGAGTTTGTACTGACGAGCGTGGGCTATGCCGTGGGCCTGGGCAATGTCTGGCGCTTCCCATACCTCTGCTATCGCAACGGGGGAGGTACCCAGTGGGCACAGGGCAGGGGCCACCCACTGGGATACAGCCCACCCACCAGGGCCGGGGCTGCCCCCTCCTGGCACAGGCCCCACTCCAGACAGGCTGGCCTCCGGCCCTGACTCCTTTGCCCCCCGGCCCTGGCATAGGCATCCTCTACCTGAGGCCCAGACCACCCCTGACAGGCTGCTGTTTGGGCCTGAGCCTGCCAGCCTGCCCCCATGAGGTCAGAGGGGTGAAGGAAAGCACCCCAACCTCCTGCAGTTGCCTTCCTTATCCCTAATGTTTTAACAGCACCCCTGGACCCACACAAATAGTTCAGGGACATGTGAAATGGCGTGGTGAAGCCATCAAATCCCACCAAAGGTGGTGTCTTCTGGGGTCTGAGTTCTGCTCAAAGCAGACTTCCTTGGGGGCTCTGTCAAGTTCACAGGCAGGCTGTGGGAGGGGCCTCAGACCCAGGCTCCTGCTCAGTGCATGGCACACCCTCCTCGGTCCTAGCCAATTGCAGAGGTTTTGCTCTTGGGCTCTGAGCAGGAAGAGGGTGGGATCGCCCAGACCCACCTCTGAGCCAGCCCTCTCCCTGCCTGCCAGGCGCCTTCATGTTCCCATACTTCATCATGCTGATATTCTGCGGGATCCCCCTCTTCTTCATGGAGCTCTCCTTCGGCCAGTTTGCAAGTCAGGGCTGCCTGGGGGTCTGGAGGATCAGCCCCATGTTCAAAGGTGAGGCCCCGGGGGGCCAGGCTGACCCGCCCATCTGCACAAACACCGCCAGCCCCTATGGCGCCCTGGTGTTGACCCAGGCCCACATCAATGGCCGAGGCCACGACGCACGCTGGGTCCATGTTTACTTGGCCTCCATCCTCCTCTTCCACCACGTGTATACACAAACCCCTCCGCTCACCCCCGCCGAGGCCTTGACCTGTCCCTTCCGTGACCTTCCATGAGAGCCTGTCCCTTGGGCCCCTCCCCATTCTCTGGGCCTCCTTCGCCAGATGTGTGAGCTGCTCTCTGGCCCCGTCCCCGCCCCAGGTGTGGGCTACGGCATGATGGTGGTGTCTACGTACATCGGCATCTACTACAACGTGGTCATCTGCATCGCCTTCTACTACTTCTTCTCATCTATGACACACGTACTGCCCTGGGCCTACTGCAATAACCCCTGGAATACGCAGGACTGCGCCGGGGTGCTGGACGCCTCCAACCTCACCAACGGCTCCCGGCCCCCAGCCCTGCACAGCAACCTCTCCCACCTGCTTAACCACACCCTGCAGAGGAACAGCCCCAGCGAGGAGTACTGGAGGTGAGGCCCCCCGGAGCTGTGCTGGGGACACAGCCCCCACAGACTAGGCACAGTTCAGGCACAGAGGGGCGCAGAGGTTTGGGAAGAGGCAGAGTTCACAGCCTGGTCAAGGCAAGAGGCTGACACCCTGGAGAGCAATGGCAGGCGGGGCGATGAGCTGGGGAGTCCTTACCAAGTAGCGGTGAAAAAGGGCTCTGGGATAGTGGGGGACGTGGGCGATGGACCCCGGGGAGCACAGCGTGGACAGAGGCCCTGGACTGCAGATGAGCAGAGGCCAGTCGTGAGACGGGGGACTGTTCTGATGGGAGAGGCAGGGTGTGGGAGCTCATGCCACAGGATGGTCTGGAGGGGCACTGGGCTTCCTGGAGAACTTACAAGAACGGGCTTAGACCGGCCACGTGATGCCCGAGGGCTGCTGTGTGGTGGAAAGCTCTCGGGAAGAGGGACGGGGCCCAGGGATATTTGAAATCACGGCAGGTCAGGATCTCCTAAGCAGGTTCTCCGGGCTCAAGCCCCCCTGGGCCAACCCCCTTGGGTCAGCCTCTGGGCAGACCTAGTGTCATTCTACCATGAGGCTCACCGGACAGACAACAGAACAGAGAGGCGTGAACGGGGTCACCTCCAGGCGTGCCGGGGCACTCGGCCAGCAGACACCACATTTCTTGAGCTCGTACTCGGTGTTGGGCGTTGTGCTCTGGGGTGAGGCTGAACGGAGACACCTCACAGACCCCAGAAACAGGGAGCGCTGACTGAATATCTGCTACACCCCAGAACTGGTGTGATTTGGACAACTTGAGCCAGGCTGGGGATGAACGTCCTGGAAGCCCAGAAAAGCACAAACTCCCCCAACCCTACTCTTAACTGCTCTGGAAACGCCCAGGGGACCTATTGTTAGGGAGTCCCAGGCGGGTGGGGCCACCCAGAGCAAATCTCTGATTTTATCCAGCGCAGTTAGAGGGGGAAGAACCCTCTGATGGGCCGAGGTGCCCACTGTGTGGCCCAATTGCATTCCTCAGCGGAGAGCCTGACCGGCCGCTGGCCCAGGCTGGACACCTTCCCCGCAGGGTGGCTCCCTGCTGCCCCCTCCTGGAGAGCCTGGGAAAATGACCATGGGACGCTGTGGAGGCTGACTACAGCCAGGAAGGGTTGGGAGGGGCGCCCCATTTCTTGGCCACCTACTGCGCGCCAGCCATGCTATCTCAGTGCTGTTCGGCTTCTCAGACGCAGAGACTGGGGTGCAGAGGTTAAGGAGCAGCCCCCGTCGGTCTCCTGCCCCAACGTCCTCCTCCCTCCTCCTTCCCCCCTTCCTAGTCTTGTTTCCCGGCCTCTGTGAGCTGGTCCCATTCTCACGCCTAGGTCTGAAGCCCAGGACCATGCTCTCTCACCTCCACAGCCCCTGTGTACTCAGCACAGTGCGTGACACTCAGGGGGACTTGGACCCCAGCACCCCATTTCCCAGGTCTGCTCATTTTATAATGGGGTCACACAGACCCTACTCATTTTATAAGCTGTGTGGTCCTGGGGGGCCACCAGGCCTCTGTAAGGCTCATGCAGGGGTGGTTATGGCACTGGCTTAATGTTATCAAAATGACTTGAGGCAACACGGCATAAACTCTGGGTGTTCAGTGAGCACCCTGACGGCTGCCGGAGACACAAAGAAATAGATTAGGGTGTCCTGTTCTCAAGGCATTTACCATCTGGTTGAAGATATTAAAAAATAACACAGAAGAATTCCCGAGAAGTCAGAGAGGGAAGAGTCCTCTGATACGCCATGAATCAGGGGCCAACTTGTAAATACGTTGGGTACAAAACTTCTTTATTTTTTAGGATTTTATTTATGTTTCTATACAAGAACTGAGGTGTAGGCTAGAGGTGGGGAGGTGAGAGGATTCACCGGAGACAGAGTGGGGAGCAGAATAGGCAGATCTACTGAAACACATTGCTGAGGGGAGCAGCGGGAGAGACAGGAGAGGTCTGCCGGGCCATGTGGGTCACCTCCCTGGCTGGGGATCGAACTCAGGCCCTAGGAGTAGGCTGTCATGGTGGTAGCACTGAGACTCAACTCCTAGGCCACCAGGGAGGCCCTAAAATGTCTCAGTTAATTGTTTGATCTCAAAGTTACATGATCCCAAAACAAAATGAGACAACAAAATACAGCACCACGAAAAGAGGGCAGGTGTGGCATCCGGTCCCAGCTTAGACCTCTCAGCTCCCAGACCCCATGCTCGGGGGACCGCCTCGTGCCAGGAAAACTGCAACCCATCAACTTCACATGTGCATTTAGGTAGCTTTAAAAAATCATCTTTGAACAAGAAATGGTATCTTTACTTTGAACATTTGTGCTGGGAGGAAGGCAGCTGTGGGCCCAGCAGAAGGACCCTGTACCCTGGTGGCTTTCAGCGCTGGGAGCCTTGAGTAGAGGTACCCAGGCTGGCCTGGGTAGCCTGCAGCCCCCTGCCCAGTCACCTGCAGATGTGAGTGGCCTTGTCAACTTGCCTGCCCACCCCCCAAACCAAAAACTTTTCTTTCCTTTTTGAAGATGGCAGTAATGTTGCTTTATAGCAATATGTTGGTTTCAGGCGTCTACCAGCATCTGAATATACTGCATTATGGTCATCACCAAAAGCCCGGTTGCCAGGCACCACCACCACTGGACCCCTTACCCAATTTACTGCCACGCCCTCCCCCGCCCTTCCCCCTACCATCTTCCACTATCATGGAAGGAGGGAGGGTGTTTTGTAGGCCTGGCCAAGGCTGAGAAGCCCCTGGAATGAACCATGGCAGAGGTGAGGGTTGGGTAGGAGAGGGCGGTGTGGGGCAGCGCCCTCTGCAGGCCATGGCTTGGAAGGCGTCCTGGGAGGAAGATTTACTGAAGGCTCAGAGGAGTCAGGTGCTTCCAAGTGTAATGGTCAGGCCCACAGGCCAACACGGGAAATGTTGTCCCAGAGTGACATCCCATCGCAGGGTATTAAAAATGTTGCCGTGAGGTTTGAGAGCTGACTTGGGAGAAAAAAGGTGAAAACAGCCGAGAATAATAACTGATAGCTTATGGGTGGGAGCTATGCCGAGCATCCCAGCCGTAAGAGGGGAAAGAAGGCAACCTGTATTTACCTAAAGTTGTCTATAAAGTATTCCAGATTGCTGTTACAATCTCCACTTTACAAATGAGGAAACTGAGGCACAAGGGTTTATCTCTGGCTCATCTTTTCTAGCCAACTGTAACAACCAAACCGGTCTTCCTTTAGGTTCCCCACTTTTTAAAATTTATTTATTTGTGCATACAGAACTGAGTGCAGGCCAGAGGCGCAGGGGCGGTGAGAGGACTCCCCAAAGACAGAGTGGGGTGCAGAACAGGCCAACTGATGAAATATACCGCTGAGGGGAGCAGCGGAGGGGCGGGTCAGGAGAGGTCTGCCGCGCCATGTGGTCACCTCCAGGGCGGGCCGGGTTTGAACTCAGGCTGAAGTGGCTTTAGCTTCTCAGTTCTGTGCTTTAACCCGCTGCGCCACCAGGGAGGACCCAGTTCCCCACATTTTATCTCCCAGTCTACTGCTGTGATAGTCGCTCATTCATTCTCTCATTCAACAAATCTTTCTGAGCACCACCCTGTGCCAGGCTCTGCACTAGGCCCCGCAGGTACAGCAGTGAGTCAAACAGACAAAAGTTCTTCCTTTCACAGGGGACAGGTGATGAACCAAATAAAGGGTAAAATATACAGGGTGAGAGGAGATATGTGCTGTGGGGGGAAATATAGCTGATGGGGGGCGGAGTGCTAGCTGGGGCGGAGGCGGCAACGTAAGCAGGGTGTTCCCTGAGAAGAAGATGCTGGATTAAAACCCGAGGGAGCCGTGTGGGCAAGCCCAGTACGTAATTCCTGGGTCCCGGGGCAAAATGAAGATATGGCCCCTTATTCGGATATATTAATAATTTCTTTTTTTAAAAAAAAGATTTATTTTTTATGTATACAGAACTGGGGTGCAGGCCAAAGGCACAGGGGCAGTGAGAGGATTCCCCAGAGACAGAGTGGGGAGCAGAACAGGCAGATTGACAAAAGTTCACTGCTGAGGGGAGCAGGGGGCAAGACAGGAGAGGTCTGCTGCACCATGTGGGTCACCTCTGGGCCTGGGGATTGAACTCGTGCTGAAGCGGCTGCAGCCAGCTTGCAGTGCTGTGTCCTAACCAGTTGCACCACCAGGCAGGGCCCTATATTAAGAATTTCAAGGTGGCAACAGCAGAGCTTTAGACCTTCTAGTGGCCCTTCATGACTGCACAGGTGGCACCCAGGTGTACTCCTGGATACTTGGGGAGAGAGCCCCCCTGGGGGCGCAGCAGGTTACAGCACAGTGCTGTCGCAGCTGCTGCAGCACGCTTTCAATCCCTGGTCACAGAGCTGACCCACCTGGCGCAGCAGACCTCTCCTGTCTCACCTGCTGCTCCCCTCAGCAGTGGATTTCAGCACCTCTGCCTGTTCTGCTCCTCACTCTGCCTCTGGTGCATCCTCTCAGCCCCCGCGCCCCCGCTTCCTGCAGCTCTGGCCTGTACCCCAGTTCTGTATGCATAAATAAATACATCTCAAAAAAAAAGAGAGAGAGAGAGAGAGAGAGAGAGAACTCCAGACAGGAAATAGTGTGTGCAAAGGCTCTGGGGTTGTATTTAAGGAACCACAGGGAGCCCAGCGCCACTGGAGCAATGAGCAAGAGGTAGAGTAGGGCAGAGAGATGGGGGGGCAGTACCTCGCATTAGGGTCTTAGAGCCACCGGGAGGGTTTGGCTTTCCATGGCAAGAGACAGGAGCTGCTGCAAGGTTTTAGGCCAAGGAGAAGCCCTGAGGGTGCGCTTATAAAAACCCTGCAGAGGCCCTCCCTGGTGGCGCAGCGGGTTAAAGCACAGCACTGAGAAGCTAAAGCCACTTCAGCATGAGTTCGATTCCCGCCTGCCCCGGAG